AGTGTCCATTTCATAACAAGAAATGCCTCGAAAAAAACGTTCGTTGATTTGCTATTCATTGAAAAGGTGATATCAAACTAAAACGCGTATCAAGCTACCAATGTATAACTTACTTAGTTCTCATCAAACCACAAGATCTTTATGCTAAATAATTACCTGAGGTACGTCTAAAGTCACAGAACTACTCGCGGATCGATTTAAATGCCATGGCGATTTAATTTTTTCATCTTCAATGGAACTGTCCTTTCTAGATGCTCCGGTTGCTGCATCAGTACGAGGCTGAAATAAAAAAGTTTTCGTGAGTAACCAGAAAATATTTGACGATAAATAACAAATAAACGAACGTTATTTTGAAGCATTTCTTGTTATCTGACTTAGAAGACAACAACAAAATTATATATTTTATTAAGCACTAAACGTGATCTATAAAGTTATAGGATCACGCAATAAACAACCTGCTGTGAAATACAAGCTATTCCATGAATTGGAAAAACCTGATCACTTTCTGTTATAATCTGCTGAGCGGCAGGTTCTGATTGCTTTCCAAGTACAGTAACACGGACTTGGGAAGCTGGCAATATTCTGAAAATTAAGAATATAACAAAATAAATGGTGCTATGCTTACAATACTGTGAGGTTTGCACGAAAACTGTTGCAAACTTCTTCATAATACTTTCTTCACATGAAAAACCGTTTGCTAGTCACATAAAGAGTAATAACTGGACTCTTCAACCACACTGCTGTGTACTGATCTCAATTAGGCAATAGTTCAATTAATTCTGTTAATGTGAGAGCACTTCGAACAGATAACTTGTGATGAAAGGAAATCTTAATTATGCAAATAAAATTATTTGGTTACAGACATCATGTTAAAAAGTGCTTTACTGCTGCCGCTAATTACTATAACTATTTTTCAATTTTTTTAACAACGAATATGATAATAAAGATGTAAATTAAGTTACTATTCTCACTGTTTTGAAATAAGTATTTACAAAATACGAAAATAACAAAATGTTTATTTCTGTTCACATGAAAGCAATATCATTTTTTTCAAATTCAGAGGAAGACCATACCTTCTTTTGGGAAAGAGCTTTTTCTGTACATTTTCTGTACACCTTTCTGATGCAGATCGAGGCAACGATAAAGTTCGTGTCTAAATGGTTGCTCATGAAATATTAAAGCTAACGAAGGTGTGGAAAATTTTTGAAAAGATGCCAAAAAAAACTTTCCGCAACAAAAGTTATAAGCTTTCTGATCATAAAAACCTGAATGTCACTGGTGCTAACAGAAGAATAATTCATAGATTTGATCTGATTATACACAGCAGCTGCACGTTGAATAGCTTCCTCGTGAAGCTCAGCAGATCGCCGCTTTTGTGCTTCATACGACAATGCTAATTCTTCTACTGTAAGCGTATTAAAACAATACTAGACAGAATTTACTGAAAAAGCATATAATAAGAAATATTTGCTTCGTCAACACTTCATGCGGAAAAATCCTAACGAGTATGAGAATCTAGTTCAAAGATAATTGTGAATTTAAGTGCTGAGACTGAGTATAAATAAAGAAATACAGCCACAAAACCAAGGTTGTTGAGAACATTACGAACGGAGAATGAAAAAACTACAGTTTACCATGACTGTCATACATTTGCATCCGCCGAGCGCGATCCATCATCACTCCTGGTTTTTCAGGAGCTGAGTGAGGTATGTATTGATGTCGTGGAGTCTGCAGAACAATCGGATTATTCATTCCTGAAGACGGAGGAGCTGGTGATGATATACTCATCGACTGCGACGTAGATGTATTCAAGGACTGCGAGGCATGTGCATTTATCGACTGTAGTGGAGGTATATTTTTAGAATGAAAACTAGGCATACTCATTGACTGTGATGCAAGCATATTCAAGGACTGTGATTCTGATGTGTTTATAAGATGCGAAGCTGGCATATTTGTATTCTGCGGGAGAGATATATTCATAGATCGATGTGAAAGTACATCCGCAGATTGTGATGAAGGTCTATTCACCAATTTCGATGAAGTCATATTCATTATTTGCGAAACAGGCATATTCATCGAGTATGATACATGTGTATTCATTGACTGCGGTGAGGATATATTCACTGGCATAAACAAGTTTGCTGCACTTGAGACTACCAAATTTACAGCAGTTGATACAGGTGCCAGTTTATCCACACATACTGATGGTACACTGGGATAATCAGGTATAAAGTCATCCTAAATGAAGAAAAATGGAAATATTAACGGCATCGAAAACGACTTCACCTATTTTGACCATTTTAACCAAAGATCATAACCAACTGACAGCCAGTGATTTCAGTAACCAAAATACTGATCAATTTGGATTCGTATCCTCATGTATCTTAAGCACTATGATTTCTAACTACAAAACTGAAAAATAGAATATTATGTTTTCTACACACACAAAAAAAAATACAAATGCTCTTTGAGAAATCTAAGAACTCCTGAAAAACTGTTTTATTTGTATGAGAGAATGGTTACTACAAAGGAATTCCAAACGATCTAATGCTCTACCTTGCCTTGGTCAAAAATACAAGAATTTCAATAATCAAGTATTCCACAGCACAAAATTTTTTAACTGAGTACAAAATCAGATAATTAGTTGCTCGCCATCATTACTATCACTAAGACCAATAGAAGAAAGATATGAGATTTAGTAGGAGCTGTAAGAAATATAGAGAATTCCAAAAAAATGAAAAAATCGTTACCGTAACAGACTAATTTTTCACCTTTTCCTGCAAACTTAATTGCTGCTGCACACGAACTCTGTGTTGTTGTTGTAAATGTTGTCGAACAGTTGGACCATCATTATTCACGACAAAAGCATTTGAAGTCTGCCGATTAGGATCCCGTCCGCACATCGGCAATGGATACGCTCTAAAAAACAGTCACTAACAAGTGAAATAAAAATAACCAGCCAAAGTTACATTTCACATGTTCGGTTATCTAAACAAGTAGTATACGTTCTAGTTCGGATGTTCGCATATGACGTTTGTAAACGTTCCATGCCATAATCTGATCGATTTTGCATCTCCGCAGAAAGAATTGAATTTAGAGCTGGAACTGATTGTTGCACCTGCTGTGTTATTGCTGATGGTGGGCAGATTTGAAAGGCAGAGACATTTGTCGAATTAGGAATCGAGTAAACATCGCCTAAAAAAATTTGAGACATGATAATGACTAACTGACCATATTCTTGACATATGAGCAACTAAGCAGTGAATACGAACTGTCGGGGACTGAATTTGGCGAGATGCAAGAGTAAGGATCCGGTAGTTGCTGCAGATTTGTCATAACTGTAATATGTTCGAACTGACCAGCTGATGTAGCTGTGGTGCATGGTGACATCTGGAAAACTGTCCGAAAGTAAAAATCTGCATATAAATCAGTATTTGTAAAGACAACTTGTTTCTGGAGCATGATTAATGACAACCACAACAAAACATATGAGTAGTGAACATCTCACCATACTTTAATTTTAAACAAAGAGTGAACCTGATTCAAATGCTGATAAGATGTTGGAAAAGAAGACAACGACTCAGCAGGTGTGTTCAAATCTGCTGAATTACTTCCCAATGTCTGATACCCTAAAAGATTAGAAGTTACCATAGTAGCATTGTACAGACACTTCAAAACATCTGCAGTGTTCTGTCAATATGATTAGCTAAGGACAAAACAAATTTTTTCAAAAGACATTTCTGCATAACAACTCAGTTAAGCTAACAGAAACACATATAAAAAACAATATACCCAAATTTACGCAATTTTGAAATGCAAGATTGATTTTTTCATGTTATAGAAGCTATTTATCATTAGAGGAGATAAATAACTACTATAACATATTAAAAAAATGCCCAAATTGAGTATTGTTGGAAAGGTAATACAAGAACAATAATTCTTTGCTTACAACTCAATTTTTAAGCATCAAATTGATTGAAACATTTTTAACAATAGTTTAGTTCTTGACTAATATCTAATCTCAATCCCACTTTTTACGCCATTTATATGTACTTCCCACAAAACTTTTATTTAAAAAATGATTCTCTAAGATGACTTCAAAACCAAAAAGACAGATGGCTTGAACAACAAAAAGACAATACACTGCCCACAGGAATAACTGAATGCTAACAACAAAAACCCAAACAATTTTGAAAAGACTCCATCTTAAATATTAGTAATGTTTCTCTTAAAGTGTACGCACCTGAGTAATCTGTATGATAACTGCTTGCCTCGTCCATTTTATTTGTTTCGATATCCAAATTATTAATATGAGTATGACAACCCTAAAACATTTTCAATTCAAAAGAAATGTGAACTAGGTTACGAAACTCATATTACAGACACACTAGTTAGAAAAACCCTCAGACAAAAGCTTAAAACATCTTGCAAACATTTAACTCAACTTTTTTTTATGACTGTAGGAATCAGAAGATGGACTTTAGCTGCTGGTTATTTCTATATTCGTTCAATTCTTTTTACAGAACTACAATACGATCTTCAATAGAATAGAAGACCAAACCTGATCATAATCAGACATAAGATTACTAGTCATGAAATTTCCCTCACTTGAAACTGTTTCTTCATGATTAGCAACAAAGGACATGGACATTGAATGCATTGCTACTGCTAGATATATCTGAAATCAATAACATGCAAACAAATAAATGAACCCTCAAGATTTCACTTTATGCTTAAAAACTAGTTTCAAAAAACAGGAAATTAAAGTAGAGAACTCAAATGGCACTCACTAGCTTACTCTTTAACAGAGTGTAGCAAAAATTCCGACTGATTAAAATACTGTTGGATCTATCCTGTTTTGTCACAAAGCAAACCAATAATTCCTCGAAATATCACAAAGTTATGAAACTTTTAGGTACGGATAAAAAACACTAATGTTCCTAAAATAGATATTTCGAAGTAAATGACGGGAGATAAAAATAATGGCTTTATATATAACCAGTGTAACTAGGAATTTGCATTTATAAATTATTATATTTATTGTATATGCGCATGATATTTTCAAGAAATGACTCCCAGAAATGCTGAAAATTTATCTCAAGTATTACATCTTAGAAAACCAAGCATTCTAAACATATCATACAAAAGTAAAACATTTACAACAGGACCCATTTTTAATGAAAAAGAAAATTTTCAAATTTTAGAATTTATAATGTGACATAACAAAAAAGTTGATTTCGACATGCAGTGATACGATTAAAGTAAAAAGTATGGCAAACAGATTATTATAAGGAATGGCGAACAAAATTAATAAAGTACAGTAAAGAATTAAGGATTGTTTTTTCAAGTTTTGGTTGGGAGTGGTGGTGCTTGAATGAAATGCTGCGATGTCGGAGCACTTGGAGTAAGCCCACAGGCCTGTAATTGCCCAGCAGGTACGGGTGGATGATCTGGACCGATGCCTGAATATGGAGGTGGGGCTTCGAACATATAGACATCACCAGCTAAATGAGAAATTAATTGAAAAATCGGAATATGTATGACGAAAAATCTTCCTTCAAAATTCCTTGAAGTAATCTGCAGTACAGAAATTTTTATGACATTTTTGTGACTTAAACAGTCAACACTTTCCCTTTTCAACCTCTAAATTGTTATGGCACAGGAAATGAAAAGGACAAAAAATATCATGAGACAATACCCGGTGGTTGATCAGGAAAAGAATTTGTAGGTGCCTGGAAGCCATTATAATTCCCTCCTGGTGGTAAATAATATGCTGGTGGTGCAGCAAAATAGTTTCCAGGAGGAGGAGCATAAGCTGGAGGAGCATCATAAGGACGGAATCTTTGAGCTGTAAATATTTAATTACTTCTGAAATGATAGAAAGCAACGAAAATGGGATTTGGCAATAAAAAAATAAAAATTAGTGGGAGAGACTAAGTTTTTGCAAACAAACAAACCCATGTCTGCAGCTTGTAACAACGCCTGTCCAAAATCAATACAACCTCCTTTGCTGAATGTTAATTTCCATGTTACCTGCCCATACCAATTACCTGAAGCTTGTAAATAAATAAGTAATAATATTACAAAAAGAACTAAGAGTACAATAACTGAATGTCTTTCAACACAGAAAGGAGTAAGAACTGAGACTTCACTTGGATGGAAATCAAGTATTATACAGTTTATTTTAAAAAGCATTTACCACCAGACTGTGCCACGGCAACGCCTTTGAGATAATTAGCTCCGAAAACAGGCTGTTCAAGTTTCACGTCCTTCATGCAATGAAATGGCATTGAAAATGAATGCAATGGATCATTTTTCCGATTGATAAATATTACCTAAAACATGAATGCATTGCACTTCGAAAAATTTACGGTTGAAATTCTGAAAAATAAGGAAACTCACACGATGACTCGTCAAGTACAAATCTCCGGATTTATTTCCTTTGAAAATATAATCAGGTTCATTTTCGAAACGACAGCTTACATCCTGCGTATAAAGCAAAATCCTACAAAAAACTTCACTAAGCACTACGTACACTGTTCGCAAACAAACTCTCAATCAATCATACTCCAGAAGCTTATATTAATACGATTTATTAGAAGATCTGATTTTCATCTAAGAAATTTATCCCATACAACATTTTAATTCCCATAAAACTTTATCAACAATAACGATTTGAAGAAACAATAAACGAACATTTCTCCGTTGTATATCAATACTCCACGTCCATCAGGAGTACTTGAAGTGTTCACCGACATCACTATTTGCTGAATAAAGAATGATACGTAGCTCTGATAAAATTCATTTAAATAGTTAACAATAATTGGATACGTACATGATATTTTAGCAGAAGAGAATAACTTTATAAGTCACAGTCGCGTATTTCAAGTAATAAACTATGACTGCTATATAAATAGCATGATTTTTTTCGTTAGACAAATTAAAACAAAATTTATGAACGTAAAACAAGGTAACTCTGGCTTCATTTGCAGCCACTGGAATATGACGCCAGTATGAGTGGAAATGAAAGGAAAATAATTATGACAATAATTTTTTATTCTTATGACATGAGTGATGGTCAAGTCCTGCCAGTAAAGTTGAGTAGTACGATAAAAGAGTTTTCAATAATGGTAAATGCAAATTTCCTTAAAGCATTAGCACTTCCTGCGTTTGAAATGATCCACAAACTGTTTTTAATAATGTTAAATGCAAATAAGTTCGTGGGAAAAATTTATCATATCATTGCAAGCTTTCGCGGCAAAAACCATAAGCAATAAGATATTGAAATAGCAATACGAGATGCCCATAATTTTTTACATTAGTGATTAAAAGGTAAAAAAACATGAATAAAGTAATGTATGACTGGAAACTTCAACAAAAATTAAATATTTAAACTAGACTACAAAATAATGAACTGGAGTTACTCAGTGGCATATTATATTATTTTAGACATATTCAATAAACAGATAACAGCACAACAAGTTTTCTCCATGGATTCATTTCTAACAGTGTGTAGACCATTTCGAATGTATGAAGTGATAATGAGTTATGGAAATTTGCTTAGTGAAATATATTGTGATGAAGTGAGTGCAGTAATGATGTAGAGTCAGACTCAACTCGTATTGAACTGAAATTCACTTACTTGTGTAGGCAGTAAGAGTTGAATTTTGAAAAACTCACATTAACCATTTTGTTAATAACAGCAAATTCTAATAAAAAATATTTCTTTCCCATAAACCCTTTATTTTCCCGAACTATCTTATCAGAATGCAATAAAGCAAGCTATGAATTACTTTGTATGTATTGATTGAAATATTCAGTGAAGAAAAATCTCGTTCCACATGTGAAAGTAATAAAAGTGCAGGAGTAATCAGATGTAATTTAAAATATAACTGCTCAATGCATGCAGGAAATGAGATAGCAGTTCTTAATATGTGCTTATAAAGTGACGACTAACTCTTACTTCTAATGCGTCCAAGCTGTTTAATGACAAAAGACTTATAAGGCATTTGCTGTTGCTTATGATACAATTTTGCGATACTTCACGTCCAACAAGTGGCAACTGAATATGCAACATGAAGAACTCCATCATTAGTCAATGAGTATTAGTGGAGAGACAAGAAAATAACAGACAGAGCACCAGCATGTTAAATGCATGCAATGCCAACCAACCACCCTAACCTAGTAACCATTTCCAGCAGAATATTTTCGGCACAAAGTTAAAAAATGCTTTCAGTTTTGCATAAAATGAAAAAAAAGAACATTCTGTACGCGACAAATGAAAATAACTCAAGTACGTGGAAAGTAAGGCAATGCATATAATAAAGCAAACAGAGAATAGCAATTTACACTACGCAGTCAAAACCAGAATTCTGAATGATTCAGAGGTTCCTTTCAACCTACCAAACAATTACGACACATAACACTGAAAAGGGACAACGTTGAAACAATAAATCAAAAGCAAGAACACGCTACATGACATAATCGCAATGCAATCAAAGTTATAATGATTGGTAACGTTATGCAATTCATTCTCTCATTTCATTTCAGCTTTTACTGCTTACATTTTATTTCATTCTCGCGTGTTTAATCTCTTTCATTGTCTTTTAACTTTATTTCAACCTCTCCTTGTTGCATAATCAGAAAAGTGCTGCTTTGGATAAGAGTTATTTCGACGTTAAAGAAGACGAAATTTGAACGTAAGTCGATTTTCGATGTTGTGACAAGAGCGATTTTCATGCTTTATTTGTTTATTTTCATTATTGCTGTGTTGAGCTGGTTATGTATGAGTTATGAGCACAGTAGCGACCGATTGTTGAGTAATTCACTTTAAGTAATCCATCGATAAGAGTACAGAAATATGATGCAAATAAGCACTGTGATTGCTATACAAGTTGATCAAGATGAGAAGAAAGGTAATTACGTGATGAATAGGAAAAGGGTATGAGGAAATGGAAAACGGTTCTCGTTTTGGAGACTGAATTATCTAAACAAAAGTGAATCTACGTCGTATTTAATTATGAGAAGAAAGTAATGCTATGTATTTTTGTTGAATTGAAAGCTTTTATGGTAGAATTATGAATATTTTATACTCCCGTTATTTTTTGGCTTTTGTACTCGTTGTAGTCTAATAAGTTAGTTCTTACTGAGGTAAGCTCTTGGAATGTGAGTACAGAACTCTGCGCAAATTCCCAAGCCAATCCAAAGCATAATTTCAAATAATGTTCTTCTAATTTTTAGTTTAGGTTTTTACCTCAATTTCGGTAGTTAGATAAGTACTCATTTAGGCTGTGAATGAAAACAAATTAATTTTATTATAGGTGTGTAACTTTCTCTCTGCATATTGAATGTCAGTATTTTACAATCACTATAAAAAAAATTTTTACATCATTTTAAACCGTATCATGGTTAACATTTTCCAGCATGTCGTCACGTTATTTTACTGACCAGAGTACTGGTATGGTACTATTGTCAGGAAATTCACATCCAGATTTAGCAAGATTAGTGTCAGAGTAAGTAATTTTGTTGTAATTTTGTTTCTCAAAGATGATATTTTGCATGTAATATTAAACAATTTTACAGACGTTTGGGAATAAATCTTGGAGAAGCTGTCGTTTACAACAGAACTAATCGTGAAACTTCAGTTGAAATCAAGCAGAGTGTTCGTGCAAAACATGTATTCATACTTCAATCTGGTTCAAAGTACATCATTAATTCATTTACTTTCAAAGTACATTATGAATTTTTTTATTTCGTTTCTAAAAAGCTAGTGATTGTCATTTGTATGAGATCAAATTTCAAGAACTTCTGGAACATACCATTTGGTGCTGGTCTACTGCATAACGAAATTGTTTTTAATTTAAAGGATCTTTATGAAGTTCTGTAGTCTAAACATTGTTTTTATATTGTACGTGGACTCATCTTCATCTCTCGTAAAATGATTAGAAGTTGTAGAGATGTTAATAACAACATAATGGAACTCATGATTTTGGTATATGCATGCAAAACATCGATGGCAAAAACGATAACAGTGGTAATGCCATATTTGCCTTACAGTAAGCAGTGTAGAATGTTAAGACGGTCATCAATACCAGTGAAACTTATTGCTGATATGATGTGCAGATCTGGTAAAGATTTCATATGTCAAGAGGCTTTTTTGTTTTTCAAATCACGTAGCATTATATTATTATTATAATATATTCATGTTCATATTATTATAATAATATATTCATGTTCATATTACTCGAAAAGATTTCAGGAGCTACACGAATAGTTTCTCTAGACCTATATCGAAAAGAAATTCAAGGATTTTTTTCAGTACCTGTTGACAATTTACGCGCATCACCTTTTTTGTTGCAATATATAAGAGAAAATGTATGATTTTAAAACCTTTTTTTGCGTTTTTTAATTTTTTAGTATTCATCAATATGATATTTCATTCTCATTTCCTCTGTACTTTTTTAAAATTAAGTAAAGTGGGTTTCAGATACTAGACTACAAAAATGCTATTATTGTTGCGAAGAATCCAGGCGTCATGAATAAAGCAACATCTTATGCTGATCGCCTACGATTAGGTAAAAAATATGACTTTATTTACGTTTACTTCTTGCAGTGAATTTTTGAACTGAATAATCGCTGATGGCCTATCAGTGAATTCAAGAAAATTGTTAATTCATGACCACAGGACTGAATTGTTATTGTCTATGTAGATCTTGACTAGTATATATCATCATGTAGAATAATTCAGTCAGTAGTCCATAACTTTTTGGTTGCTATAAATAGCATAGTCTAGTTTTTTCAAGTGTTAGTAAAATGCCTAAAAAGCTGTATTTAGGTAATCATAAAAAGGCTGTAAAGGGCATAGTTCAATAGTATCTTCACCAGTTCATTGTTTATATTATATTTGAAATGAGTGTTCTCTTTAAATAAATATAAAATCATGTAAATCATAGTGTCTATATTCATTATAGTGTGGTCAGTAAGGTGAGAGAAAACTCTTTTCTGAACTTTTGTTCAAGAAATAATGTATTTTAATTTTTCCTACAACCTGCTGGATCCTTCCTTCTATTGTGATATGTTCGTTTATTGCAAAGGATGTATATTATCATTGTTAATTATCGAACTGTGCATATGGATAACTTTAGTTCTTTATGCAGTCATTATCTCGAGTTTCTAATATTATTTTATGCATGCCCATACTGAAGCAGCAAATTAGTAAGGCTATAATAGGATCATATAGTTAAATTGTTCACCTATATTTGAACGAAAGATAACTCTAAATAAATTCTGATATGCAGTTTGTTATGCTTTTGTTTTCATTGCTGTATTAAAGTTTGTTCATCAATTTAAGTTTTATTTCTATACACCTGTCAAATTTGGGGAAGAAAGTAATATGGTTCTGGTGAAAATTTATATTAGTATGAAATTCAGGTGTTGCTGTTATACACGGTGAACAGAAGGATGTTGAAGAAAGTGGCTTAGAAGATGGTAGACAAAGTCCACCGCTTGATGGACCGCCAAACGAGAGTCTTACTGCTTTTGAATTGTTTCCTAGTAGTGTCTTGCAACAATTTATTTCACTTAACTTGTTCGTTTAATTGGAAAAGTTTTTACTGTACTTTGATATTTTTTGAAAAATCCAGTTCTTTATGGTAAGTTGTAATGGTTTAGAAATCATTTTGTTATTTTTAGCTCAAGTTGCAAAAGAAAAACCTCCACTAACAGTTGTTGGAGATGTGGGTGGACGCATAGCGATTATGGTGGTGCGTGTATTTATTTTATTTCGTATTCGTGTCAATGTGCAGTAAGATTTTTGAGTTTTTGGACGAATTTTATTTATCGTTATTTAATTTAATAAGTAATATTAACAAGTAGGATGATATAATCGATGATGCGCAGTCTTTCGTCGCAGCTGCTCAAGTGTTAAAAAATCGTGGTGCTTATAAAATTTACGTCATTGCAACACATGGATTGCTATCAGCTGATGCTCCTGGTCTTCTTGAATCATCTCCTATTACTGAAGTAAAATTTTCTCTGCAAGGTTTGGGTAAACTAGGTAAAATAAGGCACATAGACTATAATACCAGTAAGGATTATTATTATCATTATTATTACATAGACATTACTACACTAGTAAGGAAGACGATTTATTCGTCTTAGTAGTGTCTCTGTGTTTGATTTTATCCAGTTTTTGAGAAATTTATTCAAACTTTAATAAAGTCAAACAAATATTGGTCTCTTCTCCATTCCAAGTTAAATCTGTATCGGAACCGACAGAAAATATAACTAGTTTCTATGATATTTTAATCTTCTATAAAGCGTAATTTATAATATGATGAAGCATTCGAAACTTCATATGAATATCAAAGTTGCAGTGAGTCGTTCGTATTGCTTAAAATTAGTTCTCTTCAATGCTGTTTACTGATTCATGCTTTCTACATTTTACTCAACATAGGTAATTGTAACAAACACAGTACCTCATGAAGTGCAAAAGTTGCGTTGTCATAAGATCAAAACAGTCGACGTGTCATCTATATTGAGCGAAGCAATTAGACGCATTTATCACAATGAGTCGATGGGACAAATGTTTCGTGGTATAACAATTGGGGATTAGAGTTAAGAAATTCATTAGAACTGGTACTTGACGATACGGTTGTAAAAGTATTACTGGACAGTGTATGCATTTGATTGTCATCATTTTCCTGTATAAATTCCTGCAGTTTAATTTTGTAGAATAATGGAAAGTGTTTGAACATATTATCACAGAATGTCATCCCTGCTTATCGTAAGTTTGCATCATATTTTTTAACTGTTTCATTTAAAGCTTTTTCGTTGTTGGTTTCTTCCTGTCACCTATGACGATATGAATGCTTAACTTTTCATTTTATCATAAGTGTTGCTAGCCTTAGTTTTAGTGATTCCGTTCATCCTCTTGATGGAATTAATTTTAAGCATAATATAACTTTATAGAAAAATAAAGACTAACCATGGTCTACTTAGTTAAAATTTTTGGCGTTTCAGTATTATTTTGAGGACTACGGTTTCTTACAAGTATTTGTTAACTTTAAATGGAGAAAACTACCAATTAATTATTGTTAGTCTTTAATATTTCTTTGAAGCAACTAATACTTGTTCATTTGCGTTTATTTCTCTCTTGAACTAGAGAAGTTGGCATTTTGCAAATTATCTCAAGATATGTCTGTAAATTCTTTCTTCTGCAAAACTTTTATGAACGATTGTCATTTTCGGAAAACTGTTCCCTATGAATAAATACGAAATGCTTACTTCAAGTATTTATTTATATTTTTTGAATATGCTTCAAATAAATTGTATAACTGTTTCGAAAGCTAAAAAGAATTTGATGCATACATCACTTCTAATCATTTCTTGTGATTTAATCGTTACATTTTTGTTAGGTTTAGAATTGTTTTATTCATGCACGGGAAAACCATTATCATCGAGTTGTGAGTGTTTTCATTGGAGTACTGAATGCAAGGCAATAATTCATATATTGACATCGTTCCTTGAGATAACGGTAGCAGTTGTAAGTTATAACTACATACCAACACTACAAAAGGTTTTCATTTCAGACACAACGACCTTGTTTTCATGTCTCTTGAACGTATGTCTGATAGAACTATTGTATTAATCGAAATATTTTGACAGTGAAAGATGAAATTTTTCTGTGTATTTTGAAGATAAAAACCATGACTTTATGGCATTGAAAAGTTCCTTGAAAAGCTACTTTTCTGTTCGATGGATTAGTGTGGATTAATTTCTGTGGTAGTTAAGCAATGAAAACTTGTAAATCAACCTGCAGTACAAAACAAATGAGGTAGAAGATGAAGACAGAGATAAATCGTATGGTAGTCTGGACATCCATTGATAATGTTGTAGTACTAGGATGTTGCTTAAATGAAATTCCATTCATCAGACGATAAAATATGATTGTGTCAGTAGAAAATGCAATGATACTGCAAGTCAAGGCAAATGCAAGCAACGTTATCGCAATTACCTGAAAATAATGCATTCTTTAAGAATATAATCAGGTAAAATTTCTGTTCAGTGTTGGTTTTATTAAATTGTCACTTTGAAATATGTAAAATGATTGTCAAATTCTAGAGTGAATAATTAGTTTAGGATGAATATTATTTGTAGGTAAGGAGTCAACCTGTGCGATAAGGTGAGGAATAAGCAAAGCAGCTGTATTACGAATAACTCCAATAAAGAGCAGAACAACTGCTAAAGAGCTGAGACCAATGCCAATGATGGATATGGGGAATGGTTCTATCACATAACTGTCGTGTGTACCTGCAATTATCCGCCAGAAAAATTCCATGTACTGTCGATATTTCATATCGAATTGGAGCTACCGTCTTCAGAAAAATTATTCACCTGTGATCCTTTCGTATCTTGTGTCTCGCTCCACAAACATCAATATAGAATTCAAAAGAAAGATCAATAACATTAGAAGTTCTGTACCTAAAGCAGTTTAACGCGTTTAAAATTTCTCCATTTAATGCATATATGAACTGATGAGACATAAAACTAAGAAAAGCACTCATTTCTTTCTGCGAAATATATAGAAATGTTGCTTTTATAATTTAAAGGTAAAAGTTACTGGCAATGACAAGTGTTCCAGTTTTGATGTGGAAACAGTTGCATAGACATCGGTAATTTCTACTGGATTCATCAAACTGAATCGATTTTGGAAGCAAAGTGTTTGCACAAATATTATCGGGATCTCTAGTGAGTACGCAACGCATTACTCGTCCATTCATCACTGCTGTTTCAATATTAAAAATTCGTTGATATTTTGAAATCAGTTGGATATCCTCATATATGAAGAAGTCCTATAGACATTGTTTAGTTAATTATAAATGAGTGTGAATTTTTGAAACATTACAGTCATTACTGATCTAAAATTTAAAAGCTTAAAACCTGTTCATATCTTTGTTAATTTAATTTCAGTCTTTCACTCCTAATTTACAGCATTATAGGCAATGTTTGAGTGATAGGTTTACCTTGAAATTATGAAAAAATAAACAAAGTTGTGTATCGCCAAGTATTGTACTGAAATGTAATGAAATGATTGCTTTCAGCTCATTGTGTGGTACAACGAGAGAAAATTACGTTTTAATTTTTGATATTCAAGCCCACTTAAGACAGGAAAATTTTCGTGAGTGCGCAGTTTAATAATTTCTTCATAGATGTGAATTTCTACAAATTGCTCTATTTTGTATTGCTTACCTCAGGAAAAAAATTAATTTCGAAGAGTGCAAACAGATATGTTTTCCCTGCTATTGTGGACACACATCACTGTATGTAAGGTTTCACTTTATAACAACCACTGCCACTGTAGAAGCGTACAATGAGCCAAATTTCTGTAATCTGTTATCGTGAATTGAAAAAACAAGACAACTAACAAAATTACAGTTTTTTTGAATTAGAATCTGTTCAGCAGGACGAAAAATAATTCATCACTAATTTTTTAAAAACAAATTTTCAAATGATTGCAAGGAATGATTTATGAAACAAGTGAATTAATTTTAACCATAAAAGTTTAATCCTGATAATCGGAAAAAAGTCTGGGTATAATAGTGGTGTTTTTGATGAACAGTAAATGAAGAGAGTTATGATTCAATAGAGAAGAAGAAGAAAGAAGATTCCAAATTGCATGAATGGAGTAGTGAGCCAGGGCCTGGAGCCTTTACTTTCAAAAAAATTAAATGAAGAGTGTGATTTTATACCTTGTTGCTTTTTGAATATTGCTAGTTTAGCAAGGATTTATGTATATATCTCTTACAATAATCTGACCATTAACTACTTTTGACAAGCTTCACAAAAGCTATAACACCTACATGAGAAGAAAAGTGAGCATATTGTAAAAAATTTATTCATCAAAGAGTAAGCATGGCAGAATGTATTCACATATGTCATCACAGTAGCAATAGACGATTAGAGTTTCTAACAACAATAGGTTGTAATTTGCAAAGAATTAGCCATGTAGAAATATTGACATGGCAAAGACATTATTAACAACCAATTGAGAGTCTGCAGAGCACATAAGCTAACTTGGTCGATTCAAGAGTGTGGACTCTTTCATTTGGCCAATTTTATTTTATGAGTAAATTTTTCTTGACAACAAACATCCACTCATCATTACCTATGTAAATCTCAAAATGTGATTAAGTCGCTATTCTGCATATCAATTTGTATACATTCATGCAAATTTATTAGGCTTTCAAAGTGTCAATGCAAATAGCAATCACAGTCAAAAATTCACTGCCATATCAATTAATAATTTGGGATTATTGCAATGTAAGAAGAAATTAAACGAACAATACATTCAGAGAGCTTAAGTAAGCAATTGTAGAGCTTTCAAGAAGCTCTATAATCACTTACTTATGCAACCAAACAGCAGCTGAAGTTCTCTCAAAAAATCATGAATATGAAGAAAAACAAACAGTGACAATAAGAAAGCAAACATAACAAACCCATCGTTACTTCCTTCTTCATCACTTCCCAACTGCCTCAGACCGAGATTTTTGTGCAAATTAAATGTTGCCATCGCTCTAAGAGCTATTCAAAATTTTTCGATCAATCAGCCTACTTTTTTAGCATATAATTCTTTAAAATTCCCATCAGTGCATCAACATTTTAAAATTTTCGACTTCGATAAGGGTACGCAGAGTGCTAAAAATGAGGAACCTTTTGAAATTATTGATTTTAATAGCTATTATAGCATATTTAGGGCAAGAAAAATACAAGAACCTTAATAATTGAATATAAATAATTAGTAATTAAATGTTTATTTGTTTGATGTATTTGATATAGGAAAACATATTTGAAACATATTTTGTAGGGAAACATATTTGATGTAGGAAAACAGTAATACACGCAAATAAATCTTAATGTAATCAGAAAAATTAATACACTGTATAAATGAACAAACTATCAGAAATGTTGGTGTACTAGATTTCATTTTTTAAACAAAGATAAGACTGAAGAATTCACTGACTGCAATAATCAGTAGAAGAACGAATTATCTAATCCTTATCATCATAAAAGTTATAGTGAAAGTAGTAAGTCATGTGCAAATAAAAGAGCATAAACTTTGCGAACCCTTAATGAATTATATATTAGTAATAACTTTGTCATGTCACACTGATTCGATATTTTTGTTAGACTTCTGGAAGAATTTGAAAAGAAGAATGGAAAATTCAGTTTTAAATTTCAATAACATATAAAAATAGTACAAGTATTTTGCACAATTTACATATTTTTTTATTTATGAGGAGTAATCCCATATTAATTAATCTCATCCCTGTAATTTTCCCAATTTAATCTAAAATTGGAACTATTTTTTGACATTCATTCACATAGAAACAAACAGGAAAAGAGAACTGTGAAAAATGGATGTTCGAAAGTCTGATAAAATATTCATTTTCAAAGCGTTATTTAAAGATTGCATCTTTACTTTTTAATATTTTCCAACCTTTTCAACTATGTTAAACAGGAATACTATAGCTATCTTTACTTCCTTCTACAATCTGAGACAGCATTACTTTTGCTGTGAATTTGAGTATGATAAATTGTAATTTTATTTCACTTTCTAAAGAAAAAATGCACTCATTTATAACTCTGTAACAATTCTATGGACTAAAATTGACTTACAAAGTTTCATCAAAGTATTTTAATTGTTTATTTGCAATAGAAGAAATTTTTCCTCGTATATAACACAACTCGATATCAGTCAATATAATATTTCATTTCGTTGTGAACATTTTTAGCCGTTTTTGATGCACTCATTCCTATTTTGCAACTTATGACAGATATATTTGTGAAAGATTTGCCATTTTATATTTGTATTGTAAACTTACCCACTTTTCTCTCCTACATTTTATTAAAGTTCTTTAGCATTTCATACCTGCTATTTACATTTTGCAGAATACTTATCAGACAAGCAGAAACTAATTAAGGACTTTTCCATATAATAACAGCTCCAATGACGGAAGTTTAACTTTACTGCCATTAAACGTCAGTCTTGTAAAGTTACCACCCACAAGAAAATGCTGATTTAGCACTTTTATTCATAGAAAAGTTAATTAAACCCACTGCAAAATTAATTTTATTCTCCGTCATAATTCACTTAATAAGATGTTATGATAGCCTTCCGAAAATATCAAAAAATTGTAAGACATTTAGATGGCGCTAGTGAAAAAATTAAATTGTTAATACAGTAGGTGTAAAGCAGAAGCACAACAAATCGTATTTGATGCATTTTGAAAGAAATGGATTTCCGCGCCTAAAATTTATTCGTTTTGATAACCACAGGATTAAATTGATCGTTAGATAATTTAGAAGAATATTTAAGCTCTTATGGTTACCTCAAAAATGCTTACTTATCAATAAAGGCAATGAAATAAAATAAGGTTCATGAGAAACTGAAAGTGCTAAAATGTAAAATACTTCTACTCTTGAATTAACTCTATAAAATCAATATTTAATACAAGTGCCAGTGGCAAAATTGATAATTTATATTTATATTTTTTGGGAATGATGCAAAAACACACGTACACGTGACAAATAATAACTTTAATCGATATTGATAACATCGACACTTGTCAAAATGCTTGTAAATTACAATGAAAGCCAAGTTTTGGTGATGCTGTCAGTTCGTTTTCAAGTTTTACAATTACTATAAATAGTTTAGATATTTTGCACAAATGGAACTACCTGTTTCTTGTAGTTTACCTAACTAATTTACCTAACAATTTAGCTGTCAATATGTCTTTGTTTCGAAAAAATTCAAAGTTCAGAAGCTTTTTATCTCTTACAAAGGACTATATATATATGGCGAGATAAAGTTCTTTGGTAATCCGACACTGCTGTTCATCTTGAGGCAGAGCAGATCACAGATTATAAATTTATCACAGTTTGTGAAGTTAATGTTTGTAACCAATGAAAGAAATCATTAAAAGCATTTTAAATTACTGTTATCTTTTTTAAAGATAATTAACAATATAATAAATCTATTCTCAAAATAACTAGAACGCGCGAAATGCAACAATGACGTTGCAGTTACCAATCATGATTTTAGTGGGACTTAGTGTGTTTAATTTTATAAACAATCAGTACTGGAAACAGCATAAAAACGAATATATTGAATTAGTATTACTCATAAATAAGGTCAAATTCAAATAAAAACCGTATAACCTATACTATTTATTCATTACAGAGCAAGTGCCTGTATTTCAAAAGTGTTATTTATGACTTAATAATTATATTTCAGACTCACTGATAAGTAATCAAAAATCCGATGAAGCCATATTCAATGTATAATTTTTAATATTTGAAAGAAGGAGAATTAAATTTCGCATATTATTACAGTTTATCCACTTATCACACCATATGTGTGTTTTCTGCCGCATTAATTGATGGAGAGAAGATCTGTAGGCATTTACGGAATTTTTTGTTGCGGAAGCAGTTTTCACTGAAAAAAATTATGCATTCAATTCGCGCATTATTATTTAACGAAAATTTATTGACAGCGTGTTTTTTCAATACTTCAAAAACTTTTTATTTAATTGTAGAAGGTTTTTGTAAAAATATTTTAGCATGCTAATGCACTCCTAAATTTCAGTGTACAGAGGATCACCTATTGAAATGCAATAGTAATATCTAAGGCTAAGTAATGACATTATTAAACGTGAAAGTGTACTGTAAGAGGTAAATTATGTTGTAGTTACCACTCAAAAACGCCATCTACCTATGTTCTTTTGTTTAAAAGCGCCATCTGCAGCGTGTTGCTTGATTATTTATAGTGAGCAATTAACTTATTGCAAAAAATTATTGTAAAGAATCTTGTAAAGGTTGACTTCAGATTGGACATTTAATGAGCTGTTTCAGCATTTGTTGAATATAATTTTGAAATTATTAGACGGACCGGCATTCAGCTCGTAGACTATTCTCTTTGTAGGAAAACATCTCGTGGCAAAGTTCACAAACCCGATCCATAATAGCATGCAATGTCTGATGTCGGTAAATTCCACATTTTGGATCAATTGCCGCCCAATTTTGTCCTCCTGATCGTTTCAACAGCTTCATTAGCAGCAAATCGTTTGTGAGGACCTACAAACAGTGATTTTATCTATTTCAAAGAGTATACAAATTATTTAGTGAAAATGTGCAGTCACTTTCATGTTTCTTCTTCAAATACTAATAACTATGAATAATACTACAATTCACAAAAAAGATTTCACATGACTTTGTCATTCATTAAAAAGAAAAACTATCATGACTTATTCACTAAAACCATTTGTTCAGGGATGATAAAGCAGTAAGAAATTTCTGCGCACCGCATTAGCTGCATTGTCGTGATATGTGAGTTGTATGAAACACCTCGAAGGTGACATTAGATGCAATAAAGTGAATGCTAAAATCCACACTTGTATCCGTGGATTATTTTGAATGTGTACATTTGTAGTGCTAAGTTGGTGACTGACAGTATCTGGCATTTGCTGAAATTTCAGTATAATAATACAGTGTACACGAGAACCTGCATTGAAAAACAAGTAATAAAAAATTTTTCAAATGACAAGTCTGACTTCAAAAATAAATTAATGAATAAATGTAGCATATACCACCCACATAAAATGAATTCAAGCTATGCCGGAACTGAATATCAATTTAGTTTTTTATACAATTTCAAAGTTTAATTATACGAACAGCTAAAATTGGACAAAATTTTGAATCAATCCAACCTTATTTTACTGTGCTGCAAAAATCTTTAAAAAACATACAGTAAGAAATGGTACATCGCATTTGGTTGAATAATTAATGCTAAATATGATACCTAATATAGTATTCTTATATTTGGATCACTTACAATTAAAAAAATAAGATGGAAAATCTTAAAACAACTCTCAATTTTTATTGGAAAACAGTTCTGAATATTTCCGGTAGACATCATCAGTTTTATATTCAGATTGTAATTATCTAGATAATAAAATTTTTAAATGCGATAAAAGAGTGTAAGCTGAAATGAAAGTTTTTGCAGTTGCAAAACACCACTGACCTCAAGTTTTTTACTTCAGTATGATGGCCTTTTTTGATTCTGCCCTTTCTTAAAACTGTCGTCTATGAATGTTTTCATTAATTGGATGATATTTCACTGACATTTAAAAATATCAGAATGGGAGGGCTGAAATCTTCATATTAATTTTCGAATAATGAAAACTATTTCTAATTAATATGGGAATAGGAGATTTCTGTTAAAAACTCATATTTGATGTGAATCACCGCAACTAATCAAAATTCACTTCGAAAATCAGTAAGATTTAATTGATGCACTGTGAGTTCAAAGCAGAAGTATATGCGAAGTTTACATTACAAATACTGAAACATTTTTTTAAGATTATTTTGGTTTCAGTTGTTTAACGGAAAACAGAATTAATGGTCATTAAATTAAATTTGTTTGATGATAGCACTAAGCAGTAAGAATTAATATTCCAGTATTTGAATGACACATGTAGTTAAAATTTGAATATAGCAAAGTTTCTCTCAAAACTTGCAGTAAAATAACATTTCATCAGAAATTTGATCTTTTTGTAAATCAAAATTATGTCAAATGAAATGTAATTTATGATTTGAGCAAATTCATAATTTATAATCTTAAGATTTTATTTCTGAGACCGCATAGTTTTGGCAGCATAATTGAGCAAATATGCTTTTATGATCTGATTTTATAAATCGTTGTGGAAGTGATTCATTTCCTTAAACATATTTTCACGTTCTTAACACATTCTTTTGATCATTTTTTCTGCTTGATTAAAAGCTTAGAGTTTACAAATCGAATCGTACTTTATCATAATAGCATTTCAATTTAAAAATTTTATTTCCTCTCCACATCTTTTTAAATTTGCACAAATTAAGAGTATACAAAAAATGTTTTGCTCTTTTTAAGCTGAAAAATGATTAGCATTTCAAATATATCACTTACATGAATTTTCTTCTGTATATCAATTAACTTGTCATACTTCGATGCAGTATGCAGTAAGTAATTTTTGAATTTACAAACAAATATGTCGCGCAGTTTTTAAATCGGCTGCGTTTGCATTTGATTTTATGAGATTATATTGCTTTGAAAAGAGGAACTTGGATAAAATTTGCACCATTTCAGGTGAAGAGAATCGTGATTTTTGCTTAGAAGCACTATCGCTTTCTTAAATGAAATGTGCATTATGGGTACCTATTATTGTTGAAATATTTCAGTAATAATTTCATTTAAGATTGGTCTACATATAATGAAAAATGAAATCGTAGTTTATTGATCATCAAGAGGTTATGAGGAACTAAGAAATGAATTGCTGACGAATGTGGTGACCATTATTGATTTTTTAGGTTTTACTTCATTTCTTCACTAGTAATCAAAAGCAGTCGATTTAAAGGTCTCAAAGATTTTGTATTTTTTGTAACAAATTATTCATTCAAAATTTTTGACTAAGCATTTAGTTATGTTTGCTGTACAAATTGAAAACAGAAAATGGCAGTATGAGAGAAAATTTTTTTTTCACGCGATATATTTATTTCTGCTCTACATTTTTTTATTTTTACCTTTTCAAAGCATTTTAGATAAAACTCATTCATAGTATGAAATAAATGATGTAATCGTTCTTTATCAGATGATATGAAAATATGTGTGATAATAAAAAGTTTAGGGAATGCTGGACGAAAATCTCGTCGGACCGGCATTCTAGTGAAAAATTAAGAAAATACTTTTGAAACTGTGAGACGATAGAATTTTACGTCTACATTTTTCGAATTATCTTAATAAGAAAAAAAGAACCATGTTTAAATTTAATTTGTATGTTACTGACATTGGTTCATCCGTAATATTTAATGTAGAGTTTGAACATTTAGCAACTAAAATGTGTTAATATTTTGAAATGTTTTTTGACTGAAGTTTTTTTTTGTATTCCACAAATACCAAACTTTTTGTTTCGCATAAAAGTAATTGAATTGAACATGAACTTCCTAGTTTTCTTACCAAATCTGATGCTTAAGTTGACTGCATGTTGACTTATTATGATGGCTTAGTTGTTAGCTATGAATCACGTTTGAGGTTAATTATGAATGACACTTGAAAATATAATGGTTTTTTAAAATGCTTACATTTTTTTCAATAGCACAACGTGTTCTACAAGTAATTCGTGTCAAAAAAGAGGTAATCTTAAAGCCTACGTGAAGCATATATATGACAAGACGAGTTTATTTTCAGTAATCTTGGCATTAATATTTTTGCCCAGTTTTGAAAAGAAAGTTTCTCTTCCATAATTATCACTCTCGCTGACTTAAAGTTATAGTTAGACGAGAAATATGAAACAGGATTTAGGCCTGCGTAAACATTTCACTTCCATTTCCCGCAGAAGACCAAACTATTGGGACGACACGCCCTGCTCCATCCACCACATCACATTAACAGCAAAAATGAATCAGTACTCAGGCAAACTGTAATCCCAACATATCGCAGTATACCGCCACATCGCAGTTTAAAATTTCTTCTGAATCTACCTGTTAATGTTTATTTCTCAAAAGCATACCTTTTATTTTTTTATCTGCTGTTTTGCATCTGATGTTAAAATATACTACTTTTTTGGCTATAAAATCCAATAAAAGTACTCAGTAACTGCTTAAATATTATTTATTTATTTATTTGTCTCTGACAAAATATTCTCAGTTTTCATAGTTTATTCGAAGAAAAGCTTGCTAGACAGGAACTAGTCTTAAAATATACTAAAAATCGTTATTTATGATTTACATATTATCTTTTCAGCTAGTTTTCCATTATCAAAACTTGTCAAGTAGCTAAAAGCCGTAGTAATACTAACACTGCCATACCAAAATTGAGTAAAATAGTAAAATATCGAGTAGTGCAATTTTTACAGTAATAATTTTTTTTTGCTTCCTCCGTTGCTGATCATAATATTAGTGAAATATATTGCACATATTTTAGATTTGAAGTTTTGTTTGAGCATTAAAAGTATTGGGTCTCTTTCAACAATCGCATAATTTTCATGAAGTTTCTTCATTTGTTTTTGTATATTTTAATTAATTAATGTTATGCAAAAAAGGCATGAAAAGGAAACTGTGCCTTAGAATTTCATATACAAATACATTTTGATTTTGCATATTTTGTTGCAGAAAATATGCCTTTTCATAACGAAAAATCATGATGCACAATGTTTGCCATTTTTTTTCCGTCAACTTAACTGATTCAATTACAGATTAAAAAAAAATTTTTTTTTTGAATTAATGACTTTCATTTTTTCATTTTCAGAAATTTGTATCCATAAACAAAGTTTAACTTTCAATATCGCTTCTAGTCTCAAAATAATTGAAAAATTTTGAATTGATTTTTTATAAAATTTAATTATAAAATTATGCCTTACCAAAAAATTAGAAAAAATTTTTGTGTTTTCCATACATGTGCATCTCTTGCTTTCATGACATATGCTGCATTTTATAGATCATTTGATTTTTGAGTTCTAGAATTTGAAAATATTGCAGAGAGAATTTTCGGGAACATTGCAGGATTAAGTCAAAAAATTAACCATGTTCTGTGCATTGTTTCGCCCTTTGTATCTAACTTGAAAGTACGTATAGTTTGTGCACCTAAATTTGTTGGATAAAATTTATCAAATTATTAAAGTTTTCGAGATTATGATGTTTGGAAACGTGAAATCATTATTTGTGCTATCTTTACTATTATGAAAATTTTGCACTACCAATTACTGTTCTTATTTTTATTGACTTGCTCTCATCAGTTGCTTATACCATGCTCAAATACTGATCAGGTAAGACAGTTTTTTTCTTGACTGTCATATAATGATTGAAAGATTTTCATTCTCTTTTTACTTCAAATTTTCGAATGCACTGAAATCTTGATCCATTTCTATCTGCCAATTCTCATTCACATCATTAGAATTTTAAATTACACATTTATTTTCAACTTTTACAAAGTATCAAATAATATAGCATTTTAGAGTACCACGAAGTCATTTTTTTATAAAAGTAAAACTCTCAAATTAGGAGTTAGAATTCTCTTACCACGTATTATATTAGCATGATAGAAGAAAACAAGTAATTTTTTCCCTGTCTCAGTTTTGGACTTCATTTTATGCTGTTTTCTTTATCTGAAAAATGCTGAAAATTAAGCAAAGAAAAGTTTATAATGGTTTATAATGGAGAGTTAAAAATTACTAACTTGGAAGTTGAAGTTAGAATCGAGATATCGTCGACTTCAAACAATTTTATCAGACGAAATTTATATAAATAAATACGAAGCAAAGTTTAGTGTTGTAATAAAATTTTCCGGTACAACAGTTCTTGTGAATTTTGAAATTTACAAATAATCATTAATTATTTAAGTATGATTGGGAGTTGCTACCAATGATATAAAAAACATATCGGAAGTGAGTAAAAAGTATTGATGACTGCAGAAAGTGCTTTTTTAACTATTTTCCCGAGTTTAGCACTTTTTTCTAAAATTATTTTACAAAACTCATTTTTTTTCACAGACATCTCATTCAGAGAATTGTCCTCCGGATATAATTTTCTTCAAAAGTTATTTATTTTAATGGAAATCTTGACAATTTGGACAAGAATATTTTCACAGCAAGAAAAATGTAGGAAAAATTGCAACTTCTTTTCAGATGAACAAAAAATCAATTTTTTTGTGGTCAATTGAACGAAATCAAATTGTAGAAGGTTATATGTTTGGAACAATTCATGTACCATTTACCGAAGTCTGGGAGCAAGGTAAATTTGCAAAGTTTTGTGCTTCATTTCTTATCAGTTTTTTTAATATCCAAAGTGCTTGTGTTTGAGTAGTTTTTGAACATTTTGTCATGAATTTAAGTAAAAATATGCAGATGATAAACATGATAAAATCATCAGTTTATCCAGCCAACTTATGTTGGAAATTTTCAAACTTTGCTTAACTTGGCAACAGTTAACTAATTTAGTTTGTGAGTGTCTAAATGAAACGAATGTGATTATTATTTCTTTTTGCAGTTTATAAGAAATAAATGGTAATTATATATAAGTGAAGCTATTTATTTTTACCAAAGGCATTATTGCTGTAGCACTAATAATCAGCAAAAATTTTTTAATTTAAGGCATTAAACAATAGGTGTTTCGCTCTACATTAACTGATATTTCTGCGATTGATAAAATTTTTGATATAAATGTTGATGGGATAAAATAATACGCTTATGATTCTCAGTGCAGTTACAGTCAGAATTTCATTCATGCTTTTTCATGTATGATTGCACTTACTTAACAATATTTTTTTATTACCTTTGAGATGTACCCAAGCTCAAATTAGCATTCATTTGCAAAGTTCAACTGTTATTCTCCATGAGATAAAGGCGTACCAAATTGAAATAAAAAATAATTGCCTCACTCTTAGCGATCCTTTCAAAATAATGACAGCAATAGGTGATTTTGTTGTTGCTAGATGCTAGACAGAAAAGTATGTAAAGTGTGTGTAAAATGCAAAAAACATGTAAAAGTTGTTTGCATACTAAAGGGTTGCCAGTAATAAATGACTGATGCTCCTATTACTGTTGATTGAAACTTTCAACATTTTGTAATGCTAAATAATAATAATAATAATAATAATAATAATAAAACAGATAAAAATGATGTTTTATTTGTCGAAAAAAGCAGCCAAATTATCTTGTGAGTTTGTCGTAATATAAGCAAGTTAGTAAGAAAAAGCGAAGGAGATATATGAATACTACCTCTATCACTGTTACTATTACTACTACCATCACCCCACTTATTTAAGTGCTGATGTCTTATAATAGGTAATTGCTGGGTAAACTAAAATATGTGCACCATTCTTCGCCCTCTTTTCACCTGTCTAATTGCATCTCCAATTCAACTTATTCCATATTGCTTTCTTTCATTTGACAACAATTTTCCGCTTCATCACTTCGGCAAAAATTTTGAGCGAATAATTCTGAGCTTTCATAATCTTTAGCTGTAACGCAAATGTCCCAACAAAAGATGTCAAATTTTCTTTACGTTAAGCAAGCTTTTAATGCAAACTATTGAAAATATGTGAGTACTGACAATGACTTATTCTTACGACTCATTTAACAAAAGCCAGTAAATTACATATTTTTTTCAAGCAAAACTTCCTTTTTCATTGATATTATCAAAAGTTTTGATTTTACATACTGTGTAGAAAACTGATAAATTTGCTAATTTTTCTTCTGTGTTGTCTTTTTTTATCCACTATCAAAGTGTTTTTTTCACTTTATGCTGCAATGCAGTAGTAATATTTTACCTTAATAATACATGACAAAAATTTCTAAATATTCTCACTTTTCATCAAGATACTTGCAGTGTCAGAAAAAGTCAAAATAGCTTTTGCACGATCAGATTCCGTAGTCTTTGAATTGGATTTATACAACGCAAACACAATCAAGCGATTGATGGAGTGCAAAAACATTCCTGGGGGTGGTACAGTAAAAGATTATTTGTCTCCAATGATGTATCTCCGGCTCAAACATTGCAAGTTTCTCTGAATACATTTAATATGCACTATTCTCAGGCAGTGCTGCATTGTCAAATCTTTATCGTACATCACACCAAAACTTTTTTTCAGTACAAAAAATGAATAAAAATAGGTTTTGGAATTAAGAATAAAAAAATAACATTTTGTCATTGGTGATTTGTTTATTGACTACTTACTTTTATTTTCTTATTGAGATATGAAATTGTACCGAAAGCGTTTGGAACAAGAGTACCGCAAAGTCGAAAGATCAGAAACAAAAGAAGAACTGAGGAAACATTTTCGATTTTTGTTTGAAAATATAGCCGGTAAATTTAATTACAACTAGATAAAAGAAAATTTGAGTGTTTTTGGGCAAAACAAATCTATGCAAAACATCAAGTTTGTTGTCATTAGCCATGTTTGTTTATTTGCGTAGCAAATAAAACGCGAGAAAATTGATGTTTAGCAAATAGTAATGAACCTACTCACATTATCTGTTTACCCATTCCTTCATCAGCATTACGATTCCCTTAAATGGACAAATATGTTACTAAACAGTAACCGCCCTCAGATTTCGAATGACAAAATTTATATTATTGCCTTTTGAAATAGATTTGTTCAGTTGAGCTGGTATTTTGTTAACATATTTACTCCCTAAACATCCTAATTTAAACAATAATAATAATAATAATCAAAAAATTAATTTTTTCAATGATTGCTTTCATAAAACTTTTTATTTTTTTGGATAGGATGGGAACGACGACGACCAGTCTGGTTGCTATTTTTGTTGTATCAGCTAAGCGAAAAGCACGTGTATAAAGAACAAACACCGATGCTTGACTTATTCCTCGCCCAATATGCTCTTGAACTCAACAAGAAGCTTTTCTCGATAGAAACTGCAGCTGAGGTAAAATTAATTAGCATTATGTAGAGAAGTACAGCTATTGCAGTTGAAGAATCTTACATTGTCTCAAGAATATTACGTGATTATTTTGTTCGTTTAATCCTTTATTTTTTGCAAGAAAGAAGCACTTTATGCTTTTTCTAATTCAAGCAAAATGACATAAAATCTCCGGACTAATAGCTATGCAGTTTTGGTAAGATCATATTATGATTTCAGCTTCTAATTTTTGAATAAAAATTAAAATATGTTTTTGAAGCTCTTTTGAAAAGGTATTGACTTGAACTCATCTTAATTACAAGATAATTATTTCAGCAGTGTAATCCATTACGTTCAATGCGTATAGACCAGGTATGTGCATATATTTTTCAAAAAAGTCTATATTTTAATAGCAGAACACGTTATTTAATGTAAATGAATCTTTTTGCATCAATTTGTATGATGAAAATCCTGCAATATTCGAATGCTTTTTAAATTATTTAAAAGGAAAATTTTGAAACTGAGAAATAAATAGAACTTTCAAAACAGAACTTCGTAAATTATTCACAAATTGTTGTACTGCCTTTAATTTGCTTCTGAAATGTCCCTTTTTGCAGAAATTGATATTTCTACCCATACCAAAATATTCAAGACAAAAATAACGCAAAAACTTTGGAAAAAAACATAAAATAAACACTTGCAACATAAGTATTTGCTATGAAGTTGTATATGCAAGCGCAAATAATTTGCTTGTACATTGTTGCACAACACTCACAAATGAAAGATGAGTAGTAAATGAACTAAGGCAACAGATGTAAAAATTAGTGCTATTATCTATCTCCTTAATTGATTTGACCTTCAGCCTTATGGCCAAAAACAATCAAAAAATATGTTTCATTAATGGAAACTGAAATGAAAATAATCTAACTTTTCATATTACTGAGGTTTTACAACAGTTATTGTAGTAAAAATTTTAGAAATTCCACTTAGTATTTGAAATTTGAAAATAAACTATAAAAAGTGGATATCAACAACTATATTCATATCATAATAACTGCAACTGAATTCGATTATATTTCGACTTACTGCTTTAGTACGACGTCAGCAAACAAGCAAATCTCATCACCATAAAAATATTTATTTTAGGTGGTATTTGCAATAAATTATACGCTATCATATTTGGAATCTGAGCATCAGCTAATGATCAAAGGAAGACAATCAAATAATAGCGGTATTAGTAATCTAATTAACAGTTATAAGTGTGGCTCTTTGGATGAATCTCTGTTTAATGCCGATTCCAAACGGTTTATGAGTCATGGATTCAGCATTAGTGCTGAACTTGACAAAAAAGCTCAAGAAGTTAGTTTGATGGTATTTGAATATCAAAAACTACAGCTAAACAGAACCATCACGTGCTTAGAACATGAAGACGTTGAATTACAGTTTTTATTCGAAAGATAAGTACAAATTGCAACACCTGCTACCACCAATCAACTTATTTACTCTATCTAATGATACTGACATTTTTATCAATGCAAAGTCTGATATTTTTATGTTGGTAATAAAATATGAAAACACATCAGATTGATATCCAACTTCGGGAAGATATCATAGAACGACGTAACGTCCGAATGGCTGATCGAATAGCCAAATTGCTACAGTGGAAAGCTGGAAATCAGTACTTCTTCGCTTTAGGAGCTGGTGCAGTTTTGCTCGAAAAACTTCCATTTTGATTTCATTTTTGATTACTTTTATGAAAAAATCGTTCCAAGATCAAATATATTGTGATCTGCTACCTGGCACTTCACTTTATTGCTTACAAGAAAATTCACCAAAAAACTTCGTGTTTAAAGACTTCGAGTAACAAAGCAAGACTTTTGAAGGACTTTCTCAAAGACTGAACCGTGTATTTACTTCATTATGATTCTTTTCACAGATGTTAAGTATCCATTAGCTCTTACTGTGACTTTCCAAGTCAAATTTTCTCACTGAGAGGTAACAAGCTTTGAACAGATAGTGTTTAGGTAATTAGCCGAATCATTTTGGAATACTTAACAACAAATAACTTTCAATGTGAAGCCTCAAAAAAACATCATTTGCGTTAGTTAGTCGACTCCTTATTACATTGCCGAACAAGTTCCACTCAATCGGAAACTCTCCTTCCAGAACTCATTACATGTTTCTAAACCTGTCTACTGTACATTGTATCTTGCATCTGAACAAGATGTAAATTATTTCTAGGTCATTTTTTGGGTCATAAGTCGATTTTGGCTCTTTTGAAATCTCATGGCTTCATTACAAAAGCTGTTTCTGAAGACGATGACATAAGGTTAGTAATTTAATGAAAATCGGATAGAATTTCTAAAATTTTCTCAATATTATAAAGAAAAAATCGCATAACAACGATTGGGTATAAATTAAACACTTGATATTTGAGTAACACTTATATCTATGATGGACCAAAAATAACTGAAAACATAAAAATATTCCAGTTTCCGAGATTACACGAATAACAAGAGAGTATACGTATTCAATGAATTATGGGTACGAGATGGAAATTTCAAAGATGTTTCTGCAATTGATGTCCTGCTTACTGTTAATGAATTACCAAGAAGCAAAGCCAAAAAAAACCGATCTCATGGTGTTGCTTTCATCACGACTACTATGTTTTTATTTTTTCTGTAAATTCACAAATAAATGTGTGAGAATTCTTCTTACAATCTATTACAACAGAATCAACCGATATTTCACTCCTTCTAAAGTCTCATCTAACATTTAAACCCATTAACTATGAAAACAAAAAATATATTACAAGGAATTTATGTTTAATCACTTATTTAATGTACATTCACATAAGTAAGTAAAATTATGTGATTAAACAAATGACAAGACAGCGCACTCATAAATTTTGATATCAGAATAATGCAACGAGAAATTCTAGCAATCTTCAGACAGTATCAGAAAAGATTTAAATCTAATACAGGACATTATGTAAAAACTTATAGAACCAGCTCAATGAAAAATATCTGCATTCTAGCCCACACACTCACCTAACAGTAAGTGCAAGGAAAATGGCTGAAAGAAAGGAATGTATGAAATTTCCCAGCCTTCACATTGATTTAAAAATTTTCTCAGGAACAGCATTTCAGAATTATAGGGAGCCAACAGTATTTTAAAAAACCGGAACAGAAGAAGGTATGACAAAGATTTGAAAAATCGATGAAATGGTATACGAAGAAAATATAGCAACGGTAAGCTTTGAAAATGACAAAACTTAGTATCTGCTTAGCATTTTTCAGATTTATAAGTTTTTAGGAGTTACTGACTTTCTTCAACAAAACTTGAGCCATCAACGTACCAATCTGAGCTGGTGAAGGTGAGATCTGAATTTGCTACATTAAACATGCAAGAATGCACAATGCATTAAATGTATTTAAGCGAACTGTAATAGTAGACAGGAATATCTAGAGATAAAATTAAGCGGCAAAAATTTTTGATCTCTAAAAGGATTTTAAAAATATTTACTTAACAAGAATCAAAAGATTAAAAAACCATTTGAAAATGACTTACATGAACACCAGCACTCTTAAGGGCTTCAATTTTATCGGCAGCAGTTCCTTTACCTCCAGCAATAATTGCACCAGCATGTCCCATACGCCTGCCAGGTGGCGCAGTCTGACCAGCAATAAAAGATACCACCGGTTTTGCATTCGGTCCCTAATAACTCATACAGTGATTAAAATAATTTAATTTCTATCACCATTTTGCAGAGATTCCAACAGAAGCAAAATAAATACCGAGTTGTTCTCCTTTAAAAACTGCGCAGCTTGCTCTTCAGCTTGTCCCCCGATTTCGCCGATTAGAATTATTCCTGGGAAAAAATTTTTTGGCTTTCAAAAAGTATTATGAAGTGACTGAGAAGCTAAATTGCGACCGCTTAACCTTTGGTTTTCGTATCATTCAAAAATATATCGAGGCAGTCAATGAAGTCCGTGCCACTGAATGGATCACCGCCAATGCCCACACATAATGTCTGACCAAGTCCAGTGACCGTCGTCTGCTGAACTGCCTCATATGTCAAAGTTCCAGATCGTGAAACAATACCAATCACTCCTTTTTTATGTATATGACCTGGCATAATACCTATCTTGCATTCTTCAGGCTGAAAACATACATTGAGACAGAAACAAAGTAGATTCTTAACGTAAGATTATTGGCTCCAAAAAAATTGCGAAACAATATTGCAAAATTAACAAGGCATGATATATAAACTCACAGCTATAATTCCAGGACAATTTGGGCCTAGAAGGCGGGTTTTATTCTGTTTTTTTAACTTAGAGCACACTCTAATCATATCCAGCACTGGAATACCTTCAGTTACACACACTACTAAAGGTATTTCTGCATCCATAGCTTCTTCTATGGCACTAACAGCATATGGTGCGGGGACATAAATAACTGATGCATCTGCACCTGTTGCTTCGCGAGCCTGAGATTTCAACTGGTGAATCAAATAAATATTAACAACAAATAGTTTCACACATGAATAGAAAAAATGTTTTAGCTTACTTCTTTGACAGTAGCAAATACTGGCTTCCCTAGGTGAATGGTACCAGCTTTGTTGGGTGACACTCCTCCAACAACGTTAGTTTTGTATTCAATTGTTTGTTGACCATGAAAAGTCCCCTAGATTACAACGCTGGTATTTAGATGAATTAAAATTTTTTTATAGTGATTTATCGAGAGAATGATTATTTCTAACTGATAATCAAAAAACCAATCTAAGCAGTACTTTAAATGATATTTTATTATAAATTTTTCCTGCAAAGAAAATTATATGGCAAGTGTACTAACAAATCAAGCACTTTTGCAGTAATGTAATTTTCTTTTTTTGTAGTCCCAACACATTTTAATACAAAATGAGAAAAAATTAACATTTAGATTTTACCTGTTTTCCGGTGAACCCTTGAATGATTAATCTTGTGTTTTTATTAATCCGCAACGCACTTCGCGTATTGGCATAATGTCGGACTGATTCTTAACATAATATGATTAGCGTTAGTATATTAATTAAAGGTAAACGCGTTTGTGAAAAATGATTCATTAATTTTCGACATTAATGAATAGAAGACAGAAACACGAAATAAACACTCACTAATACATGACGTCAGCAGGCTAAATTTAATTATTCGCGATGAAGACATTCTCAGGGCACTGATCTGGAATAAAATTATAATTACAAAAAATCATGCAATAAAAAACCCAAGGGAATTTGTATTGATCAACTGAATAATCAATATACCCGAAATAATAAATGCAGTAATCTCGCAAATAATAATGAGTAAAAAGAGCTAAAATTTAGAGAGAGAGGTATTTAAGAGGGAATGAAAGAAAGAACGAAGAAAATATAAACTTTGCAAATTAAAAAAGTAAAGTAAAATGCGATAATCAAAGTTGTGCAAACGAATAGCGCTCACTCAAATTGGCACAGCATAAAGTGAAAATGATGGAGAAGAGATAAGCCACACTTTAAAAGATGCACTGTGAAATATGTTGAAGCAGTTAGAGAGAATCGCTAGTTTGCTTGTCGGTGGCATAGAGATTAAAAATTACTTTAATTTTCATATTCAGAAATTGAGCCCTCAAAATAGTGCCTTGGAGGAGTGCATTGTGAAGACATTTTATGGGCATAATTTAACGTATTTGTGTTAGCAATCACTATTGGTGTTGAACAGAGAAATTCTTCTTCTCATATAATGCGTGAGAAATTACCATTGGTATTTATAATTAGAAGATAGTCACTGGTTGGTAAAATTCTAGTATTTAGAATTCTCATCGATATCTGTGAAATAAGTACGTGTGAAAAAAATTAATGCATAGATACAAAGAGCGTTAGTACTAGTCGTATTTAGAATTCCATCTCATTACTAATGAAACAAAGGCTACAACTACAATGCTTGCTAGAGGTTTTATTTGATAATTAAGCTAGCTTCTTTGCAACAAACGAGCTTTGTATCTACACAGTTTAATGAGTCACTTGCATTAAGCGCCATATATGCCTGTAAGGGTCTTATTACAGCCTAAGTAATGGAAAAGTCACCGAATATTACACGGAGAACAATTCTCACAACAGTGTTTGAATTAGAAAATATACTATCAATAACTTTTCAGTCTTGATAAAGTTGTAGTTTCTGCATCTATTTGCGGAAAGTATACATTTTCAGTAACGGAGTTTAAGTCATTGTTTGTCTTTCAATATTATTTCACTGGAGTTTTTAATAGTTTAGACACTTCTGCTGAAATGAATCAAAATTGTGTATCTGTATGAATACCAACAACGAAATGAACAGAAGGCGGAATGAAAGACAAGCTCCCTAAACTTACAGCTTTATTTGAAGAGTTGTATTATTACATTCAATTACTGAGTGCAAATATTAAATAGTCAAATTTTTACAGCAATTTTTCTTTGTAATTCACATGCCATTCATTGTTTTTACCATAATATTTTGCTATTGCATCATCAATGTTTTCAAATTTTGCTCAAGGATAGTTTCACGGCAATCCTTGAATACGCGTCTGATATTTTCCGTATCTACAGCCGTAGTGAAATGATAGAAGAATGGTCGCCGTTTATCACGACAACAATTTTCAAATTTATCCACCAAAAAAAACTGCACGTCACGTAAACTATTGTGGTCCCCAGTAAAATCAGCAAAGTACTGACGAATATCCGATTTTGGAACCTTTTCTGGAAGTCTAGTATTTATAAGGTGGTTGTGAGATGCGGCATGCTTTAGCTACACTTTTATATGCAAATATAATTTATTGATCATAATGAAAGAAAATAAATGTTGAACTCACGCTCAAGTAGATCAGTTTTGTTCATGAATAATATTATTGAGACGTTTGAAAAGGATTTATTATTGGCGATGGTTTCAAAAACAGATCGAGATTCGACTACGCGATTTGTTCTTCGATCTTCAAGAAGCACCTATAATTAGTGTTTAGAATTTTACCGATATAAAATTTAACAGATTCATTGTAGGAAAAGCGCTTTCAAAACTAATTCTAATTTCAACACATTTTTTAGGCAAATAAGAAAATACCAAAAATTTTTCTTGATTAAATTTTGAAACAATTAAATTAGCAGTTCAAAAAAGCGAAGTAAAACTCGAAGACATGCAAATATATTTTCATTTAAAGATCGCCTGATCATATTCACAGGAAGCAACCATGAAGAGGATGCTAGTGATATCTTCAAAACACTGGAACCATTTTTGTCGTTGAGATCGCTGCCCACCAACGTCAATAAACCTATTATATCATTTTTACAAAGTTTCAATACAGTTTAAGTGCTTGACGTTCAATTTTCGCTAAAGAAATATTTTCTCTCGAAGTCACTTAAATCCGTAAAATTTTACTGAATTTTACTCATCATTTGCGCCAACTTAAAATCTGCTTCCTTGGCTTGATGTAATATATATTGTCTTGTTAAATTTTTTCTAGAAAATTTCTGTAGAATGAAAATCGGTTTTGATATGTCCAAAGAAGTGAAATAAAGCTAAGATTTTCATTAAGATACCTAAACGAAACTCGCTGTATTTCAAATACGTGCTCGGTTATTCCTCTTGTCGCCTTTCGACATAATAATATGTCTCTATTAGTTGGACAATAATCAGGCATCGCCACTCGGTTAATGTGATCAAAAAAGTAAGTACAGGAGTCAGACTATAACGAAAACTGACAATGCACTTAATTTAATCTTAAAGAAAGACAAGTAAAACAATGAGGTAAAAGTGAAAAAAGCCTGTCTTGCAATCCTTCATTTGAGGAAACTTTTTTAAAGTTGGAATAGTGTTTCCATACCAAAAGCAACTTACTATTTGAAAAAGATTCCGCTGTTCATAAGTTTGCTTAATTGAAAAATCTTCCCAAAAATCTCGTACTAACGGAGCCACTTCAGTAAAAGTAGGCTGATCAATCCCTCTCATTATGTCTGATGTTGTAAATCTAAAATCGTAATAGTACCGTAAGTTTTCGCAATAAATTTCAAACATTATTACCTCATAATTTTTTCAACATTCTTTTGTCTTTCAGGATTTTTCCAGGAATAGCCCAACTTTTGACGCGCATCCAAAAGCACTCGCATTGCCGCAATAACATTCTGTAATTTAAAAAGCAAGTTTAACGAAAGAGATGTTTCTTTTTTATAGTATATTACTACAAATATTGTTTCATCTTTGATGAATATGTAAATGCTCGCAGTTTGAAAGATAACCTAGTACAAGCTTTTAAATTAAACCAAGTATGCAATCCTATTTCACTGAACTGCAACTCAAAGTTGACCTGATAAATTTGTTGTCGATATGCTCGCACCTCGTCGGCAGTAAACTCTCCACGACCGTTAATAATCACCATCTGTTTAACAAACGTCGATTTTCCTGATTCTCCGGACCCAAGCAGTAAAATTTTGACCTATTTATTTGAACTGTAACTCTGATTGAATAAAAAATAAAGATGTAATGATTTAATCACATGACATTTGCCAACATTACATTGCAAAAATTTTTTGTGTGTTGATTGGATGGTTATCGAAGTAAATGCCTATTTTACCTTTAACCATTTATTATTTCTTCAATCTAACTTTTAATATCGAAGCAGCATGAATGCTTATGTGAGTGTTACAGTGTTCGGTCACATTCATTCCATTTTGATCAATGATATATAGAAATACTCAATGACTGAAGTAAAAGTGATGCATTTTAAAAATAAAATTTTGCCTCAGAAATAGTATATAAAACGCAAAAAACTGACATGGATGCTTTGAAAGTCAGTTGAATATAGTAACTAATTAATTATGAATATTGAATGCAAATGATTAAACTGAGAAATGTGATTACTTGTCGGCGAAGTTGCTTTTTTTCTTTCTGAAGCTGCTTTTCAATAGCTCTTGTTTGCTCGTCCACCTGCGTTACACAACATAAGGAGGATGCTACTGTCATTCTACAACTAGAATGAGTCAATATGTCATCATGATAACTGATTTTATCATTTAGTTGAAAACATGGCCTTCTTTTTTGCCGACTGATGGAGAATTTCTTGACTAATTGAATAATTTGCTCATTTTTGCTGTTAATCATTAATGAAACTAAGGGTACTGTGAGCATGAGACCATTTTAGATCAAGGTGTGCTTGAGAGGATTCAAAAAACAATATTGCAAAATAAGATACAATCAACTTGAATATTTGTTAGATTTTATTTTGTCTATAACTTCCAAAAGTTGATTTCACTCATTTTAATTTCAGTAAATTAACAATGACATTATGAAATTTTCTGAAATTAATAAAAATTCAATAGCTAAATGAAATCTGTCTTGTTTTACGTAGGTGTAGAAATAGTTCCAAAGCTTAAAAATTAAAGTCATTAGTAATACAATTGAAAAGAATGGCACAAGATTTCGAGAAGATGAAAATAGCACTTATTAATAAGTTAATTTAATAAAGTTGACAGATGGAAGCAAGAAAATATTTCCCAACGGAATTATGAATAAATTTTGTGACGCAGAAAGAATTTTAAGCGTTTCATTTTTATTAGCAAACGATATAAGTTTATAATGTTGCCTCAGTATTGGAAATTACAAGCACATGTAAAGTGTACTGTGTTTGTAGCAGTTTTTTACCATTTATTTTAAGATCTTAGCTTGTCTTCAAATGCATGCTTAAAAGAAGGCAATCATATTAGCAAGTGGTCTGCGTATGACCTTTCCTATGCTAAATATCTTAAATTTTTTGCTGCAAATTTGCTCCTCTTATTGCATAAGTAAATACAAAGGTAATCATGCAGAAACACTAAACTATTAATTTAAATGACTGGTTGGTGTACATATATGCAGAAAAAATATATTCATGCAAGGAAAATAGATCATTTATGAGTAAGAACAAGACGATAATGCGAAAACATTACTCATCAATGCATTTTGTATCGAAAGACATTTTAGCAGATTTGTCTATTTTGCATTTAGCATGAAAAAAAACAATTTCGTTACTTTCAACGTTTGAAAGACAATGCAAAATAAAGCACCTCATAAATCAGCTTGAAAAACAAAGTTCGGATTCTCTATTAAAAGTTATTATTAACAGAATAAATTCTAGTACTTGAATAGTATTAAAACAATTTCTTTGTAGGCAATGAAACTTGAATGATAGTTTTGTAGTAAATTTCTGTTAAGGTCAATTTCAAAAGCTTTTTTCACTGCTAAATTACAGTTCAGAATAGTAAGCTATTAATGTATTTAAAACGTCACTTTATAATTTGCTAATTTTCTCAAGTCTCTCAAATGTAGTTTGTATCGTTAGCCCGACTTATAAATTCATATGAATTTGACGAAAACTTCAGTGTAGTTTGACCGTTGCAGGCTCTGTATGTATACATTTCAAGATTTTTTCCAATTAAGCAAAAAATTTTTGAATTATGTTCGATGAGATTGATTTTAAGTAGATGTAATCAATCGAGAGAACACAGCATTATTTTTCTAAAATTGAAAAAAAGGAGAAAATGATTATAAAAATGAAGATTAATGTGATAGGAATACCAACTATCCATTGTTTCTCATAACGATATCCACTTCAAATTTCAAATAGCAGCTCTTGAAATTTGCTGTAAAGATTACACATTTGAACACAGTTAGATATGAAGTTACAAAAGTAAGAAAAATTAAAAAGCAAAACTTTTTAATATAGCGAAGAAAAGGAAGGAGTGGTTGAAAAGATACCAAATAAAACGAGGAATGAAAGAAAGCATCGATGGTAAATGCAACAAAATTACATGAAAAGGTAGCAAACCACTTTGGTAGAACACAAATTGTTGAAGGAGGGTGGTGAAGAGAAAGTAAGTGGTATAACTACGTGATCCGCGCTCATGAGTGAGGGCAAGGGTATAGAGGGATGAAAAGGGTTGATCAACGAGTTACTCTGGCTACTTTCAGATGAGAAGAATACTTTGCACAGATGTAAATCAGATGCCGGGCTGCTACTTGCATGATTCATAATGCAAACTGTTCATTACATTTGCAGTTACAGTGCGGGAATATAAAATTGAGAAGAAAAAAGTAAAATAAAGAAACGTGTCGTTCAATAGAATAGAATGACAGCGCCATACTGCGCACTTTCAAACACTTTAAAACACCGCTGTAAGAGACAAGCTGGTTTTTATCAACTTACATTCAATAATTTTTTGCTTGTACGCTATCAAAACGCCATTCTAGTTCGATTCACGCCACGTCTTCACTAATTTTTGCGTACAACGCTCATATACTTTTAACTTCTTCGCTTTCAATCATTGCAGATCACAAAATCATGTAGAAGTCACATTTCCTTGCATCCAAAGCAAGTTACAATATTATAATGTAACTAGAAAACAGGATTGAATCAATAATTTGCTGGGAAAGCACACAGTTTAAATTTCTCAATAGTATAAATGGGCGAGAAAATCTTTTAAAAGCATTTTTTTCGCTGAGGTTATTATCATGATTCACTAGAAGAAGAAAGGTTAGATGAATGGAAAACAATACGGCTGATTCAATTTGTATTCCATTACGTAAAATAATCGACAAGATTACTGGCTACAAACTTTTAATTTACTGCTGGCTAGTCAGAAAAAAGAATGGAATGTTGAAAGAAGTCAAATTTTCGTTGGCATTTCCAAAAATTACAAATTAATACTGTGCTGACTGCTCAATATTGTGTCAGTGAGGTAATTTATAGTGCAATTACTTAAAACCGAAAAGTACAGTAATTCTGTGATTAATTCCTTTATTTTCCTTTACTACCTTTTTTCCTTATTCCATTATTTTCTGATGGGAAATGCAAACTTTTCATATGTGGTGTGCATTATGAATCGTTAAGTAATTGCACTATATATATATAATTTAATTTTGAGAAAAAAATAATAAAGGAATCGAGTAATCATTTGACTTTTGCAAAACTTCTTTGACCACTGATGATGGTAAAAAGCCATATAAACACAATTTCATTTTCATTTAAACTTTAAATTTTTAGCAATTGTGATATTTAAACTTTAAATTTTTAGCAAGGAGATGAATTCCACCATGCCATATAAACACAATTTCATTTTCATTTAAACTTTAAATTTTTAGCAATTGTGATATTACTGATTGCTGTCATTCATTTTTTATAAATCATTTAAAATTCTACCTTATCAAAGTTGCTACTGATTGCAGAAAAAATTAACCCATTACATAACAGCTATTAGTCGTTTATCTTTCTGTAGCAAGTCTCTGTTCCAATTTATATAACTGCTCTCTTAATTTGAATTATTGATTCTAATTTTAAAAAATGAATTTAGTAATGGGCATTGGATGAAATAAAACTTTTGATGTACTTCAACGAATTTTTGTTACTGTCCAGCATCAATTTCCTTCTGCTTCATTATTTCAGTCGCTTACTTGTTGCATCGTAAACAACGCTGGAAGTAAGAGACTGAGGCAGTTATTTGTTTAGTACAAAAAAATAAACAACTTTTTTCCAGTATATTAGAACAATAATATAGCAAACTTATTGCCTCTAAATATTTTGATTTAACTAACCACAAAATGAAAAACAAAGCAGTCAAATTTTCAAAATAGAACTAAAAAATCTGTAACTGATTATATGGCATTTTTTGCTTTTGATAAAATCTGTTTTGTAACAAAGATTTACATCATACGCTCGTGGATAGTGCCCAAATGCGTAAATAGAATATCTGATCAGGTCATTTCTGTTAAACATTTTTTACTATTTTTAAATTGAATATTTATTAATGTTTTAATATCGATAACTGAAATACTAGCTGGTAAGTATCAGTGAGATATATATTTTATTTGATCCTTTACATCAGTGCTTAAATGCTCGAAAAACAGGAAGACTAAATTCTAAATCATCATCACTCGTGCTTCTATATTTTATTGTTCTTTATAATCATTAGTTCAATGTAGAATATTGCTGAAACTACATTTTTCATTACTTTGCTGAAATCTTGACTCATTTGCAAATGAACAATCATAATTTATAAGGATATGAAGTAGTTCATCTTACCATAAGAGAGAATATGAAGCGTAGACTTGAAAATGTTTCATTTGCCCAGAGCACTAAATGAACTGTCGAAAATTTACTGAAATTTTGACAAATAAAGCCAGGATAAATTCATTCTGATACCTTCCCTTGAGGAAACAATGATTCATTTTATTAATTGGAATATATCTTTTTCTAGAAGCACAATAAAGAAACTGATACAAAATTTTTGTGATGCATGTCAAATTTAAAAATTCTCAAGCAAGGTTGATTAAAAGTATATATCCAAGTTTTTTATTTTTCCATTTAATCAAAGTATCAAAGCTGAATCTGTACCTCAAAAAATTAAACTTCAAAATACTTTGCTTGGATTTTGAGAATATAGTCAAGTACAGAATTGAAAACTTAAGCCACTAGCAGATTTTATGATATTATTGCTGCAGTATAATATTATAAATGTTGGCATGGAAGTGCTACTTTTAACATAGAGGTACACGTACGAATTCATTTATCTATCACTTTTAAATGATTATTTCAGCAGTTAGTTTGGATAAATTACAAGTTACCAATAACGAGGAAAAGAAATACAAAGTCAAATCAATACGATTTGTTGATCTGCTCTTGGCTGTGCCTCTTTCTTTAACTTTATCTTGACAAAGATAACGATGGGCTCAGTGAAAAGAATCTTACCAAAGTCAGAAACGAAAAGAATTCACTCTTTAATACAATGTCAGGTTTTAATTTTTGATTCTTCTTTCTCTTTGCATGTTTAAATTAGTCATACGAAATGGAGTTGATGATTTCTTAACATTTATAATCATCTACTCCAACTGTTTTCTTCAGCTCTCCTCCAATCTTCTCAATATTTTCTTTCCACTGCAAATACATTTTGAAATCAGCTAATAAGTTTGTTGCTGGTATACAAGATCTTTCAACGAAGCTTTCATCGAATCAAAAATTTCACAGAATATGCTATTATTAATGTGTGGCCAAAAAACTGAAATGTATAGAATGAAGTTTTCAAACACAAGTAAAAATAGATGTGTACTTTTTTAAAAATTGTTTTTGCTTCAATATTTTGAAAATAGACGCAAATAGTAGAAAAGATGCTACATCGTGACGACGAGATAAGTTTTTAAATATCAGTTTAAAATCGGCAACAATAACAAATTGATTGAATCTTTAGTTCCTTCGCAATCACATAGCAAAAGCTATAAACGTATTAGTTGCATCATTTTTGTCTCATCACTTTCTTTTATGTTCTTGTTCTTCTTCTTAGATTTCAAAGCGGTACGTCTATATTTTTCACTAAACACATGAAACAGAAAAAGCAATAATCAACAGAAGCTTAAAAAATGTTGGTTTCAGTCAGTGAATAACTGCAGTTTCATAAATTAAATTACCTGTACTGTAAGTCTTTCATTTCATTTTTTTTCACTTCAAGTTGCTTTTGCTTACAGGTATTCTAAGCTTGCATTTACCATCAATAAGAAGGCACAAATAGTGATCGGGACTGTTTTCAATTATGGTTGAAATTAGTAAATTATCAGGTAGTTTCTTCCGTTAATTTTCCTTCTGCTCAATTAAACACTTGACAAGTAAACGACCTGAAAATAATTCTTATAGACTTGGTGAACAACTAAATAGTTTAAGGAAAAATATTCATTTTTAGCATGTAGACTATTCTATTTTATTGGCATGCTGTCAACAGATCTATTCAGTGCATAAAGAGAAAAAACTTTGACACACAATTAATTAATTTTGAATAAAATTTTGATTTTGAATTTACATTAGCATTGTCGTTGTTAAAATTCTGAACGATGCTTTTCTAACACGATTCTGTATACTTTTTTTGCTGTTGTAATTCAAAATTTTAATTTGTTATCAAAAGTAAAATACTTTTGCCATTATGCCCGCAACATTTTATACTTTGCTGCTTGTAATTTGTTTAGTTATGACTAATACTTTCCGCAATCAGCGGTTTCTTTTCAATTTTCACACAGAGCGCATTTCAGCAAATCTGTGATTCATTTTTCCCTTTCTCATTATATGAATTTTCCTCTGTTAATTTTTTGCTATTAAGTTACTTCCGCAAAATGTTAATTTGTTACCACAAGTAAAGTATAAGTTCTTAAAATCTTATCTCAGTGGAATATCGAATTTTGAATATTTTCATTTTATTCTCTAGTTTTGCCTTACATTTCTTTCTGTATGAGAGTTTACAGTCAAAAAAGGTTCTATCATAAAGAAAAGCTTCAAAATGCTTCTTAGTAAAATGAGTTTCAGCTGAAGAAGAAGAGGAAGAGGAAGGTCCTGTTATTGATAAACGCACTCGCAAACTTGTCTATAGAGTAGAGCGGACTCAGGTATCTAATGGTAAGCTATGAAATTTCAAGAATCTGAATTGTCAAATGACGGGAAACTAGAAGCAAACATCTGACCGTTTCAAAATAGTTCTTGGTCTAAAAGTGATTATAGAAAGTTTAAATAGAAAGTGAACATTTTCTAACATTCTTGCTTTCTTTTAGATCCAACAATATCCTCTCACATAAAAATAAACCCTGAAGATTCTACTAGTTCTAAAAACATTGAGAAAACAGCAAAAAAGAAGACCAGTTCAGGTGAGGAATTTACTAACCACTTTGTACTTTCATTGACTACGGAATGTACATTTTTATTGAGTCATGTTTTGGGAGGCAGAAATTAAATATTTTATTTAAGAATAGCTGAATAGATTTTGTCTCCAAAAATTACCCGAAAACCAGACAGCTGAAAATTTTTTGGACATCAAATCTCAAAATTCTCAATTACCATACATTAATGTGTTTGTTTGCAGTCAACGAAGCAGACATTCTTCAATGCGACCAAAGTCCCCTCGATGTCAAGCAAAGCAGTGGCTCTCACCATGCCTCACTTTTTGGTCACACAGCTGAAAACGCATTCAGTCCTTTAATTTCTGACCAAACTTTCGTTGATAATACGGTTCTTGATTATGCAGATACTGAAATATCTGATAAATATAGTTCACAGAATTTAATCAGTACCAATCTAATACAACATACGACTCCACATTCTGCTGTTAAAGTTAAATCAAGCATACCTTCGGTTCTTGAACA